TGGCATGATGGAAATGTTCTGGAGTGAGATAGTGGTATGGTCTGCACAACACTGTGAATGCATTAGAAACCACTGAATTGTATGCTTTAACATGGTTATAGTGATGAATTTTGGGTTTTTAAAACTGTAATTTCTGAGATGCTGAAAGGTAAATATGATATCAGAATATTCCTCTGCTATATTCCTGGGGAATATAAAATTCTGGGTACATGCAAGTGGGATCTTCTGAATGCCCTAGGATCTCAAACTCTTCAAACATAGAATTGCCTATGCAGTCTACAACCCATAAAGCTGTGGGTTGCAGGTTTCCCAGACCCCTTGCAGTAACGTTCCACGCCCACTGGGAATCTGCAGCCTACAGTTTGGAGCCCTAGCTCTGGAATGGCTATGTCAGTAAGCTGATTGTTTCCCCCTGGACATAAGGTGTGTGTTGTGTGCCCATATGGTGCTGTTGTTTGGGTTTAAAATATATAAAAAATGTGAAACAATTGTGCCAATTCATTTTCATCCCTATGAATCCATCCAGTACAATTTCATCTTCTCAGTCACAATGCCAAGCACCCATCATTCACTTAAATAGGCAAATAACCAGGACAACTGCTGAAACCATGGAATCCTCTTATTTTACTGGTTAGAGGTGAGCTGCCAAAGGTACTGGGTTTTCAAATACAGTAACAGCCAACTTGTTTGTGGTCAGACTTCCAGTGATGCCAACCTTCAGAAACTTCAACGTCTGTGAACTCAGGGGGAAGTGGGGAAGAAGCAGGAAGCCCGGAGCCTCCTGGAAACACTGGCCAAAAAGCCCATGCATCCCTCCTTGGAAACCAAGCAAATCTGACACATATGAAATACTGGCTTTCCTGGCTTCCCCAAGAAACCTTCAGCTTTGCCCTGGAGGTTTCCATCAGCGAGCAGGAGGTGAAGAGCAGAAGCCTCAGAAAGCAGGTTAGAAGAGGAAGAGGGTGCTGGGTTGGCAAGAAGTGACAGCCCCATATTGTACGGGAACATATTTTGTATCATGTGCACAAGATAAAGAACAGCTAAAGCTGTTTTAAAAGTATAGCCGGGGGACATGGGGGTAAAAGGCCCCAAACGCTACAATTGCCCCGGATAGCTCCACTGATAGAGCAGAGAGCAGTAAAAAAACCATCAGTCAGAAGAGCATAATATCCTATAAAAGGCCAAGCCAAGCCCTACACATATTGATAGCTCTTAATGATATCACTGCACCATACCAAGGTACAAAAGGGGCTGATGTTTATAATTGTGACCATGACTCATCAAGAAAAGGTTAAATACTCTCCAGTATACTCTGTTTACTAAGGCAGGGAAGTGTGTAATACATTTTAGAAAGATTTCCCTCAAAACAAAAAAATATTAAAATTTTAAAGATTCAGCACTTAAAGGGTTAATCCTCGGTTATCTGAATATTCGCGTACATTCCTCATTTTACAACAATACTAGTAAGTGAGGCATTACCTTTTTTATAGTCATTAGTATCAAATTATTGGCACCATTCAGTTTTAAGGAGAGGGACAGGAGAGCAAACTATACAACATAAAAATACAGTTCTGATACAAATATATGAGATCAGTTCCTCTTAACAAGTGGTCAGAAGAAATGAATGAACATTTTACACACAAGGAAATACAACTAGTAAATCATCACATGGAAAAGTGCTCAGCCTTGCTAGCAATTAATGAAATAAAACAACTCTTCAAGAACAACTATACATACCTATTAAACT